TCTCAAAAAAATTGCCATTGGTTTTAATTGGAGAAATGGTTATTAAATAGAAAACAGGGTACAGATGAGAGGCAAATACTCAAATTGGGGTAATGTAATCAGTGAATCTGTACTAGAAACACTGCTCTTCTTAATTATATGAGATACATACTGTAGTGGAGTACCACAGGGATGTGTACTAGGACCACTGCTGTTTCTAATTTATATCAGTGATCTAGCTCCCGGTTTAGTTATTAACCTAGTCAAATTTCCAGATGATATAAAATTAGGAAGATTAGCACTGACTGTAGAATCAGTAAATCAAAATCAAAATAATTAAGACGAAATCACAAGTGGGCAAACACCTGTCTGATATAGACAAATATATCAGGTTTTACTAGGTAGTAAAAAGAAACCATAAATATAAAAAAGGAAACACTGAAAAATGTGAGAAAGATAGTTAGTCATGTTGATGTATCATTTATATTTTCTAGACAATGCGGGGAAGCTTATAAAATTAAATGTCAAAGAAAATGTTAGAGCATAAAGTTAAAAGTGTCGAATTTAAATAAAATAATGTTGTTTGAAAATTACACAATGCAGTGGTAAGAGCTTATTCAGAATACTGTTGGAATATACAGTGCCCTCTAAAAGTATTGGAATAGTCAAGTCAAAACTTGTTTTTGTTTTACTTCAAAGCAATTGATATCTGCATCACTTTGGTGAAATTCTGTCTTGGTTTCTTCTCTCCATAAAACTTTATTCCACGACTATCCTGGCTCATGGCTGTACTGCCCAGTGACATTTTAAGCCTGGAGGAGGAGATGTCACGACCTAGTCTTGCATGGCCAGAGTGGAACTGTCTCATTCGTCTGTATAATGTGACTGATGACGACAGCAGCAGAATGAATCCCATCTTTACAGAAGCCTCTTGTCTGCTCATGTGGAAGAAAGTCCTTCCAGAATTATTGGGTGGCACATCACCAGGTAGCAGGCAGTGTGACAGTGACCCAAAACATACAGCCTGTGTAGCTCAGGAGGTCATCAGGAGAAAACAATGGACAGTCTGAGACTGGCCAGGTCAGTCTCCAGATTCATGTTCAAATGAGCAACATGTTACATGCTGAAAGACAATCTGATGTCCGAGCTAGCCAAGAACAGACAAGAACTAAGAGGCTGCAGGAAAGCATCTCCAATGATCATGCAGAGAGTTTCAGCTGTCCATAAAACTGGCCTGGTTTGATGATCTGGACTGATGATGTAACTAAAACAGTAGCAGAATGAATATGATCTTTACAGAAACCTCTTCTCTGCTCATGCAGAAGAAAATGCTTCTGTAGTTACTGGGCAGGGATTCACCAGATTTCTATCCAAATGAGCAGCATGTTACATGCTGAAGAACACATTGAAGTCAAAACCGATCAAGAACAGACAAGAACTCAGAGTGATTGCAGCAAAAGTGTTGGGTTAGTTTACCGGGTCACAGAACTCATATTGAGACAAAAGGAAATTCAGCCATCATACTGAATTTTATTCTCTAACATTTCCCTGAAGTAAATGTGCCCCAACAGCCAAAGGTGCTTTGAAATCTCTTTTAAAACACATCTTGTTTTAATACAATAAAATACTCTAATAAGCTTCTAAAAATATACAATAATGTACTTCTCATCAACAAATGGACAACTTCTCTGAGGCTTTTCAAATTGTCTTGAGATCTTGTGTGTTCCAGGTGCTTGCCTTTCTGTGTCCCAGTCTGAGGAAAAGCAGCAGAGCAGACTCACTGCAGGAGAGTCCTTCACCTTCCCTGATGCAATAATACTGTCAGGACATCTAAAGTACACAGGCCTGGGCAGTATTATAACTGTCCAAAATAATGTCAGTGACACTGACTATGAAACAAGCTTCAGAGGGAGAGTATATTGGGACAGCAGGACTGGACAGATTACCATCACAAATCTAACTGTGCAGGACTCTGGAGAGTTTGAACTGGAGTCAACAAAAGCAAATCGCTTTACCAAGAACTTCATTCTCAAAATCTACAGTAAGTGCAATCAGTGAGAAATTCACCCTCACTGTCTACAGTAAGTACAGTGAGAAATTCACCCTCACTGTCTACAGTAAGTACAGTGAGAAATTCACCCTCACAGTCTACAGTAAGAACAGTCGGTGAGAAATTTACCCTCACTGTCTACAGTAAGAACAGTGAGAGATTCACCCTCACTGTCTACAGTAAGATCAGTCAGTGAGAAATTCACCCTCACAGTCTACAGTAAGAACAGTCAGAGAGATATTCACCCTCACTGTCTACAGTAAGTACAGTCAGAGAGATATTCACCCTCACTGTCTACAGTAAGTACAGTCAGAGAGATATTCACCCTCACAGTCTACAGTAAGTACAGTCAGTGAAAGTTCTCAGTCCCTCACGCTGAAGCAGCTCTGTGATATGTGAGGTGTCAGTGCTGCTGTGTCTGTGTGTGCAGAGCCGGTGTCGAAGCCCCAGGTGTGGGTCATCAATTCCAGCTGCACTGCAGTGTGCTCTGTGGAGATGGGGCCAGGCGTGAACATGGCCTGGAATACCAAGACACTCGATCAGCCCCAGGTTCACAATAACATCATGACTACAAAACTGGACTTGAAAGGACAGCCCCCCCCATTCAAGTGCTCAGCCTGGAACCCAGCTGACATGAAGTTAGCTGTTCTCTCCCCTCCAGAAAATTGCACAGGTGAGGGGTGTTTGTTCAATGTTGAGGTTTCAGTGTTTCGTAGTTACCATGTGAGCATGCTTGGCTATTAATGGAGTTTGCCACCGATGCTGGGGAGGAAGGCGATATCCTAATCTCCCTCATTTCTGCTTACCTACATGTATAAGTCTTGCACCCGAGACGTCTCACATCGCCTGCTCCTCCCCATCTACACCCTCATAGCAAACTCCTTGCAGTAGTGAGAGGTTTGTGCAGCTCCTCTTCTGAAATCGGCTGCCATTCCCTCAGCTAGGAGAGTCACACCAACACCCTGTACAGATCTCTTCCCCGCCTCATGTTCATAAGGAGCTCGCTGAGCTGCTTAAGTGCTGTAATGTGTCAGGCTGTAGTACTATAGTGTATGATACAGCACATACAGCAGTGGGCAAAAGTCTTCCCCTCTTCCCATTAGTGTCCTGTTCCTCTGACTCACAAAGGATGTCTAACGAGGTTTTTTAAAATTCGCACTTTTCATTAAAACCCCGATGCTCGAAGTGGACACATTTGTGGGTGAGAAAAGTTAAATATCAGCAGAAACAGCAAAGAAAAACCCAAAGAAAACCATGTTGATGGTGTGAGTCTTCACCTACCCCCCTATGACCCCTCGGAGTCTAGACATGAGATAAGGCTCTACTGACTTTGCACACTGGGAATGTGCAATAAAAAGCATTCAGTTTGTGCAGATCTGACAGCCAAGACATGGGTCTAGTTTCACTGTATAACTTTCAAGGAGAGCACACCCAGGCTGTGAAGCCAGTACTACAATACTAGCAGAGTCAACTGACAAGTCCTAGTGTAAACTATCATTACCTGTACAGTTCTAGAATAAGGTGTTCTTCTTTCATTTGAACTATACAACCACAGTTACTGTTTCACTAGGAATGACAACAACCAAGAACTAAGCGTACTGAAAGGTTTTGAGTATTGAGTACTTTAAGTTTCTTGTACAGTACGTGATGGAAATTGTCGCTAATGATTCTCGCCTTGGTTGTGTTACACTGTGTCCAGTGTTACAGTCCTGCTCTCAGAGAGTGTTAATGTCCAGTTAGGAAATGCATCTACATTAACCTCCCTGTCCTTCTGTCTGCAGGTATCTTGACCTAATTTTTCACTCTTAGTGAAACATTAATCTCTTTCTCTCTAACAGAACATAAAACACCAGATGACAACACAAAATGGATTGTGGTGTCAATAACTGTGGTGGCAATTACTGTGTTAATTGTGGTGGGAGGGTTTTTCTTGAGGAAAAAGAGGCAAGGTAAGAGGACAGAAACAGTCTATCTTTGTGTTATTTCCTGTCTTTCTGTGCTCAGTTCTGAGTGTGCGACAGTCTGTTATCCTGCTTGTGTGACTGGATTTGCTGATGTGTGTGTTTATGTGCTATTGTTTGAGTAAGAGTGTGTCATGAGTACATGGGACAACACCATACCTAAAATTAACAAGATCTACAAATTGGGTCCCCTTTAAAAAGTCTATAGAATCATTTCACTTGCAAATGCAAAATCTAGCCTCAAGACATTTAATTTCTATTTTGTGCAAATGGATGTTTATTACCATGTACATCTATGTTTATGAAACATTTGTCTTTCATGTTTACTACTGAGGTAGGTGCCTTGTTATTAAAGGTTATTGGCATGACCGATTAGTAAAATCAGTGTTGCCAAAGCAAAACAAATACAATTCACATAAAACAAAAATCTACAGACATTTACAATAAAGACACAATCATAAGATATTTACATATATACATATGGAGCATTATTGGGAGACATGCTCACTGTTCCTCAGACTGTGACAGGACACATACTGTCACATACTGGGCTGCCAGTTCAACTGAGTTCCCTCCTCCTTCTCCCAGTAGGATTGTGACCTGTTGTGATTCTGGCAGGTGTGATCACTGAGCCTGTACTTCATCAGGGTCTGTTTCTTTTTGCTGTTACTTTTGTTGGTTAGATATTCGGCTAATGTGTATTGTGTAACTCCCAGATGAGCTGATAGCGAGACCGAGGTATGTGTAGCTGGATGTGTGCTCCAATGTGTTGTTGTTAAGTGTGAATTTGTACCTGTTTCCCTGAGGTCTGGCTTTCTTCTGGAAAACCAATCTGGACAAGACCAATCTCCATGGTCTTGTCCAGATTGACTGTCAGTGCCCAGGTCTGACAGTCCTGCTCCAGCAGTGCCAGGTTGTGCTGCAGCCCCTGTTCTGGGTCCAGATGGGCTGGCAGTGCCCAGGTGTGACAGTACTGCTCCAGCAGTGCCAGGCTCTGCTGCAGCCCCTGTTCTGTGGGCGACAGTAGGACCAGGTCATCTGCATAGAACAGCAACTTGATTTCTGTGTCGTGTAGTGTGAGACTAGGTTTGATTGTCTTATCAGTGTGTGTAGGGTGTAAATGTGGTCAGACGTGGGGTGATCTGGTAAAACACCAATCTGACTCTTGCTCAGGAAATTGTGTTTGGTAAGGAAGGCCAGTATTCGTGTATTTAGGATACTGCAGAATACCTTCCCCAGATTACTGTTCACACAGGTGCCCCGGTAGTTGTTGGGATTGAGTCTGTCTCCATTCTTATAGATGGGCATGATCAGTCCTTGGTTCCAGGCTTCAGGGAAACATCCGGCTGTCATGATGAGATTGGAAATTTTGAACAGGGCTTGTTGCAACTTCAAGATGCTGTGTCAGCATCTCGTTGTTGACTCCATCTTGCTCTAACTGTGCCTCTTTTCCGTTGTACAGTATTTATTTATTACTGAGGGATTCTCTGTCCTCTCCTCTCTCTCTCATTGTGTCTCCTGTCCTGTTGTGTGTGTTTATTACTGAGGGATTCTCTGTTACTGTATCTCCTCTCTCTCTCTAACTGTGCCTCCTGTCCTGTTGTGTGTGTTCATTTGTTAGGAATTCTCTGTAATCTCTTCTCTGTCTCACTGTGTCTACCATCCTATTATCTTTTTACTTATTATATTATTTACCTTATCTCCATTTTTTGTCTTGAACTATGTTTTTTGTTTATTTCAGAGAGGAATCAGCTATAAACTTTTATGAAGAAACATGGTTACATTTCATTTCATATGGCGTTACACCCTGGAGCAAACAAGATTCAGAACTCTGCTCTGGAGTGAGAACTCCCTGCATTGCTTTATGTACCTCAGTGTTATTTTTCTGTACTTTTATAAGGCTTGACTTTGTCAATAAAATCCTAAAAAAGCAGTGCCTGGTTTTTGCTGTGCTGTTTAAACTGACAAAATGTATTCAATCCTGAAGGACATTGTTGTCATAGTCAGTCATAGCCAGCCCACCTCTCTTCTCCCAGCCATCCCTGCTTCCGGACATTGGAAAAGTCAAAGGCCAGCTCCCAGATCACCCTGCAACTCACAGCTGGCAGCCCACTGGAGCTCAGCAGGTGTGAGCCTGGCCAGTACCTGGGTGGGAGACCTCATGGGAAAGCTAAGGTAGCTACATGAGGTTAGTGGGGCCAGCAGGGGGCGTTCACCCTGCAGTCTGTGTGGCTCCCATTGCCCCTGTATAGTGACAGGGACACTATACTGTAAACGGGTGCTGTCCTTTGGATGAGATATAGAACTGTCTCTGTGTCATTATAAATCCCAGGCTGTTTCTTGAAAAGAGTAGAGGTATAACCTTGGTGTCCTGGCCAAATTTCCCATTGGCCTGTACCAATCACGTCCTCCTAATAATCCCCATCTCTGAACCGGCTTAATCACCATGTTCTCCTTCCCACTGAGAGCTGGTGTGTGGTGAGAGTACTGGCGCACTATGGCTGCTGTCGCATCATCCAGGTGGGGCTGCACACTGGTGGGGGTGGAGGGGATCCCCATTACCTGTAAAGCGCTTTGAGTGGAGTGTCCAGAAAAGAGCTATATAAGTGTGAGGAAATATTATAATAAGTTTACAAAGGAGAGAAGGTCATTCAACCCATTTAGCTCAATTTGTAGCGAATTGATCCAAGGATCTGATCCAGCTGTAATCTTAAAAGCAGCCGGAGTATCAACTTCAACAGCATGGCGAGAGAGATTGATCCTTCCCCCTTGCCCCTTTCTGTAAAGAGAAGTGCCTCGTGTGCTCAGTTTTAAGAATGAAAGAAGTAGAGCTTAATTTCACACTGAAAAGTGGAAAAAGAAAAGGCGTTTCAGCTGTATAAGCCTTCTTCAGGTGTGCGGGAGAGAGAAAGGTAGTGTCGAGATGACATTTAACATTTTTTACATCCTCCAGAATTTCTCAGCTGTCCTTATCCAGGAGGTTCTTGAGAACTTGCACACCGAAATGCACCAACCGGGGGAAAAGGAAGAGTGAATCTGAAACATGATAACTGTCCATATGACAGTTCAAAGTTTCACAGTACACTAGAAGTACACTTCATCTCAGAATTGTAATTCAAATGCTACTTTAATACTCAAGCTGAGGAACTTTAACGCTGTAACTTGAACTAAACTGCTCAACAACATTTGACTCAAAGGAAAAAAAGTATTGTGAGCTCCCTTCCTGACTCTACTTGCTGCAGTAGAGTGTGGGGCCATGTCTGCCCACCCTTCGGTTCCTGTGTTCTGTGCTCAGCCTCTCTGTGTTTCGTTTTCTCAGGTTGTCGCTGCTGCTTTCTGATTTCCTGTGTGAGCAGAGATTTCATTATTAATCTGACTGTGACTTGTTGTCGAAGAGTCCCAACATTTCTCCTCAGAAGCTCTGGCCAGCCTGCAACCTCCCAGGTCACCCAAAGCCTACCCCTGCCCTCTGTTCCCCCCTCCTCCCCAGACCTGGGCTCTATTTCATAATCATGTCCTGTCACAACATTTCCTTCACAGAGGAGGCCCCCTCAGGTGAACCTGATCACAAATGAAAGGTCTCAAACACAGATCTAGAGTCATTTTCCAGCATGAGTGTTCAATTAAAGAATTAAATAACACAATAATTTTCTTAGATGGACATAAAAAAAAAAAAGATTTTGACCAATTTTAAAACAAAACTCAAGACACTAATGGAAAAACAAACACACTGATTTCATCACTTTGAATCAGGGGCTCTGGACTCTTGACCGAAGGCGGTGTGGAGCTGTGTTCAGATGTTCTACACTGGCAGCATGGTAGGTGTATCTCTTGTAAGTTGCTTTGGTTAAAATAAGTCAAAATCAGAGCTCATCTGTCTGACATCTGGGTCACTGAAGCAGGAGGAGGATGGGATCTGAGGTCAGGGGGCTTGTGCACCTGCAATGCAGGATCAGTGATGGGGAATTGTAGCCACCCAGCAGGTTTGCAGGGAGGCACAGGGCAGAGCTCAGTGTGTTCTGACCCAGGAGGAGAGACGACACCTTGTACACACACACTGCAGTGGAGCGCTGCTGCAGTTCAAAGTGTCTCAGCACCGAGTACTGCACCGTGACCTCAGGAGCTGCTGGACTGCAGAGTTTCAAGAGCCGTCGAGTTTTAATACAAATCATTCATCTTTGTGTTTTATCTGTCCCCAAGGAAATGTGATGTTTCTGAGCCTTCAGGCTTCAGGCGTGATTGTATTTCTCCACAGGAAATAGCTGTGTAATATAGCAGTGCACAACTTCTGCTCTTTTTCTGTACATCGGGGCAACTGCAATCCTGCTGAAGATTTGTCTTTGCTGATTCGTCCTCATGTTATTGAGCCATCAGACATTTTATATGTTTGGTCCGTGCACACAATTAACCAGAAATAACAGCTGAAATTCTGTACTTTTGCAAACACTCATCTTTCTATCTGAAATAATACAAATTTCAATGATCCACGTGCAAAAATGACAAACTCCATCGCACTGTCCCAATACCTAAGCTTTTAACTGAGAACCAGTCCAGCGATAGTTACAGTCAAGTCAGAGCCCTAAAGCTTGTTAAAAGTGTTTTAATGAGGTGCTCTTCCCTGACTTTCCCACCTGGGCCCCATGAGACTCTTATCACTCATTATCACAATGCCTGTATCTTTCATAGTAGTATTATCACCACCTCCCTGGGCCCATCAGGACTCCCTCCATCCAACTGGCTGTAAGGACCAGTAGGTAGACAGATTTGTCATGAATAACCCCCAAAGCAGAGCCGTAAAATACTCCTGCCCTTGCGTTTTTCATTTCAGCTGACAGCTGAACTGCTAAACTGAACTGGTCACCTGCTTCATTAGCAGGTGTTTCAGTGCTTCAGAGTTTTGTACACTGTCCCCAGTGTTCAGAAGTTGGGGATTTCAGGGCAACTGCTCAAATGTGCCAGAACTGTGGTTCTCCAGGGCCTGGGCGAGCTATTTCTGTTGCAGCTCTTCCAGAACTTCAGATGAATGCTGTAGCATCACCATCATTGCTCATCTTCATCATTGCTGCTTGACCCAATGGTAGATTTGCTATAAACTAAAATGAGCAAATATATATAACCAAATATGTTCCCAATGCCAGAGTTCTTCACTGTGAAACTATTATTTCCCTGAATTCTGAATTACATTCAGACTCCTGAGAATGTGCTCCCTGTACAGTAAAATATGCAGGAGAAATGCCAGGTGTCTTATCTGCTTCAATAGCTCTAGGTTTCGTTTTTTGAAGAAATGGTTGTTGACTCCAGAGGAAGTAGAGTCGAGAGTGTGAATAACCGCAAGAAAGCAAGTTCACAAAAACAAACCGTATATCAGCCTTATCAAGTGACATGCTGTCAGTAGGTGACGTATGAAGAGAGTTCAGGATATTTGGAGGAAACGTGTTGTCTAACAGCATTTTGAAGATGGCAAGTTGAGTGTGGCTGTTTGCACTAGGCCATTATATCTGGGTATAATTGTAACAAGGGGATGTGATTAGTGAGTCAGAAACAGATAAAAAAAATGAAGTGGGACATTTAAATTTTGCACACATCCAGCATTGCAACATTACTGCTTAACCACACTGTTGAAGGTAGTGCAGGGACCTGCTAATTCAACCTTCACCAAAGGTTATGCTAACATGCAATAAAGCTGATTTGCTTTAGTAGCTCCAGCAACTTCTGCTACATAACAAAAAACAGGACCAACAGCCATAAACAAACAACACAGGATAAAGCAGATCAATGACTGTTGCACGTCAAAGGATGGGACAAATATCCATAACAAACCATAAAACTGTGAAACCAAACTTCTTTCTGAGCCCATACTGTATATAAGGGTCAGTAACCCTTTCCAGGGTGTCTGTTCTGTGGGGCAGACCCAGCGCACGTTGCCGTCCTTATTGAGCTCAATAAACCTGAATTTGCACAAGACGATGTCCTGCTCCTCTGATGAAGAATTTCCCACAACAAATAATAAACTCTCTATTGACACAGCAAGACACGATGCAGCAGGGACTCCCCAATAAAATGAGACACAGACAGGCAAAGCATAGAGCTTAAAAATGAGGGTGAGTAGATATGATATCACACTCAACTGCAAGAAGCAGAGTTGAAGGGGAGGTCTCGAGCTCAGACAATACTTTCACCTTCACTTACTTTTAAGGTCAAACATTGTCCAGTGGTTTAGGTCAAGTTAATGCATTAAAGTTCCTCAATTTGAGTATAGAAATCACATGGTGATCAGGCTGAGAAGGGTGGTCATCTGTGCTAAGTTAACCTGTATCAAACTTTTCCCTTTGTGTGATTCAATTCCATTTAAAGTTCTGAAGTTGTTTCCTTGGGATTTTTGTGGATAAGGACCAGGAGAGCCAGCCATCCCTGTTGGCAGTCGGCGGAGGAATTATGCAGGATGACATTCATGGTTTCTTTGCAATTCCTCACTTATGCCTAAAGTGTCGCAGTAACACCCAAATCTAGTCACACCCGTTCAGGGCGGAGCTGTGGCTCTGTGGCTCAGGATCTGTGCCTGTGACTGGAAGGTTGCTGGTTCAAATCCTGCGGCTGGCAGAGGAATCGTACTCCGTTAGGCCCCTGAGCAAGGCCCTTAACCCCAACTGCTCCAGGGGCAGTGTACAATAGCAGACCCTGTGCTCTGACCCCAAGCTTCTCTCCCAGTCTGTGTATCTCATGGAGAGCAAGCTGGGGTATGCGAAAAGACAAATTCCTAATGCAAGAAATTGTATAGGGCTAATAAAGAAACATTATTATTATTATTATGAAGGGTGCGAGTTGGCAAGTAGAGGGCAAATGATTTCTCCCAAACAATTTCCACCTAGGGTACGTTTGTAACCAGGGTAACAACATAAAGGTCGCATCCAAACTCTGGGAGGATATATAGAA